GCAATTATGCGGCGTCTCCACTACCTCCTTCAAGAGGACCTTGCCCCCATTGAGGCTATCATACCAGCCAACAATATCGGATGACTAAAGTTACTTGTCATCCATTTACCCTCAGACATTTTTCTCATGGGTCATATCTACTTTGCATGTGTATTATTATATTAGCGGGAATCTCGGGTGGGCGTCTTTCTGTTTTTACCAGCACTGATCTCATTTTTTCTCAAAAGAGGGGGGATATTTTATCGGAGTTCGGGGTTTGCTGCATCGTATATCTAAATATTGCATATGTGGAGGTTACAATCGTTATTTTCAAAGAACATGTCAACTAGGATGTTACAATCTAGAAATTCAGCCAGAGTATAAGGCTGTTACTAACTATTTCTGTCACATACTTCGTTTATTCTTTGCTCGAAATGCCCTCATAGCATACCCGCCATCTCAATTAATCCGAGGTTTGCATAAGGGTTTTGGATAGTATTGATAACGAGTCAGCCGTTAACATCGATTCTCTTACTTATTTTGTCAAGTTGAACGTAATTGAGGTTAAAGGCCGTGCCTGCGTCTGCACGCCGAGCCGTTATCAGAGCTGACCTCTCAGATACCTCCCACCAAACGCGCTGTATTACGGTGAGTTTTAGCAAATTATTGGCCTTAGCTGCATCATGCTAACACTGCCTAGTTAGAAACCGGCCCGAAACGAAACTGCACTTTCCGAACCGCTTCGGAGGGCTCGATAGAGATAGGAGAAATATTTTTCCACATTTTGCGGCTGTATAAATGCCAAAAATTTCAGGTTTTTCGAAAGTTAGAGGAGGGGTTAGAATGACGACGACGAAAAAAGTGTGGATGTGCTAGAAAATGCAAGTTTTCTGTGGTTTATTTGACATCTGGGAGAGAGGCAAAATCCTGAATCGCGAGCTTGGCCGTCTATCGAGCCAATAATTCATGAATATAAGTAGGCTTGGATTACTGGACCTTGATCCCTTCTCTTAAACTTTGTAGTTGATACAGGGGTAAAAAATGGCGAGTCTCTTTGGAACTAACTTATTCTGACTGGGCCCTATCAACCCGAGTGGGTCTGTGGGGCCTCTGAGATTCTGGGCTGTGATACCGCTGCGGATGTCGAATATCCCGGCCTGACAGTGTAGATCCTTGTGAAAGACTGGAAGCCAATTGAGGGAGCACGTAGTAACAACCAAAAAAATTTCGCTTCGGGATCATGAGATTGAGTCGTAAGGAAGACTTTCGTGCGATCCGAATCGATTCTATCATTGAATGTCCGAATACTTGGCGAGAGCTCACTGGGGCATATGCATTCCTATCTAGCTTGGGCTGACTTTTATCCCTAAGCATAGTGATCGATTGAACCTATTCCGGCCACTTCTCATCAGAAATCCTTCCCTCGAGATCAACTTGATTAGTTAGGCGGTAAAATGCGATGGATCTCCACAAAATCCGGCTTGATATCAGTGCTCGACCCGGTTTCAAGCTTTGACATCAAAACCCCAGCCATTTATAATTTAGAATTAACGTTGTGGCATGGGCCGTGGCGTCTTTGCCATGACGCGCCACCGGATCCCCAAACCCGGGTCTAGTCCTAGAGTGTGCAAAGGTTTTCTCCTAGCATCTAATTTGAAGATGGAGTCAAGCCTACATGCACGTCTGCAGGGCCGGGACTGTCTTAATATACTAGAGATATGACATTCTGACTGAGATGTTGCGCCCTTTCCGTACGCGACTTAAATGAATAGATGAACTGGTTCTAGAAACAGGTTCTATAACCTCATTAATTTCGGTTCCAATAGCTACTTTGGTACGTGCGTGCTTATTCAAAAACAATTTCTGAACAAATTTCATTTTCATTAGGTGCAAGCTAGAGAGCATATCTAAATTACATCGAACCCGGCGTAGCGCTCCAAATCAATAATACACCTTAAGCGCATGGAATATCAAGAAGCGATTGGTCCATATTTCTGCAAGTAAATACAGGACTCTTCGCGCTTGGTGGTTGAATATTAATATCTCTGGCGTAAATGTTGTTGCAATTCTCGGGGCCACCACAGACTAAACTTCCAACTCGAGGATCGTATTTCTTGCTTGCGGTTCCGTATAGACCGCGGAACAAGACGTTACTGATCTTCAAGGTGGCGGGGACTTCGGAGCATCGAGTCAAGTTGCTTTGGCCGTAGCACTGGGTAATTTCGATGGCGTAATCAATGTTCTTAAGTCGGATGGCATCCCAGGTCTATACCAAATTCGTTAGAACCCGCTGATTTGACAGGAGATACAAACTTCAACAAGTGTATAGGTACTTACGACATTAAAGACACGACCGGCACCGCCGCCGCCACCCTCGACCCAAGATGGGGGCTTCGCATATTCCCCCGACCAGACCTTGATTCTTCCAGCGCTGGTTGCGTTAGTCATGGTGGTATTGAAAACATAGATGTTTTCAACGATATCGTAATATTTTGGGTATTGTCCCAAAGATCCAACAGAGATGCCATGGGATCCATTGCAGTCAAGACTCTGCACAAGTATATTTGTCGAATTAGGCTTGAATGAAACGCAGTCGTCGTGGTTATCAATCTTGGAGTGTTGAATAACGATATTGTCCGATCGATAAGTATCCCAACCGTCGGTGTTCTTTGGTTCATTTTTGCTGGTAGTGCCACCGGCGATGCTGACGTTGTCGAATATCATGTTTTTGCAGGTATGGACGAGGATGTACCAGTTGGCACTGTAACGGAAATTGATATTGCTGATATAGGCATTATCGAGATCGAAGAAAGTAACCAAGATTGGTCTCCATGTCCAGCTGTTGGCCGCATGCGCGTCGATCCACTTCTGGGAATTGCCGTCAATGGTACCACCACCGTACTGGGTTCAATCAACATTAATTCTATCTTCAAGGGACACCCATAAATTTTAACGAAACTTACGATATTGACGTCTTTTCCACCGATCTGGATGAAAGAGGACGAGTTCTGGAACTCGTACTTGAAGCTGTTCTTCTCCCAGAACGGGATATCGTCAACGAACTTCAGAGTTCCCTGAAGCTCAATATCGACCTTGTTGAGCTTCAAGTCCAGAGGCGTTCGGATCATATAAAGGTCGTCAAGCAAGGCGATTTTGCCGCCATTGTTGCACTTCTTCGCCGCAGCAAGAATGTTGGGGCCATCGTCAAGTCCGTTTCCGAGGGCGTCGACAAAACAGGTTTTGGTCGTCCTTGGTGTTTCTTTGAACTTTTTTCCTGTGTTCAACGGGTAAGGGAAGACAACAGGTCTATCAGTTGTTTCCTTTCCATTATGCGTTCTACCCCTGGCCTCGAGAACAGTTGCCTCAAGAGGCGAAGCGAAGGCTGCAGGGGCTACCGCAAGGGTAACAAGGGCGATTGAGAGCAAGTTCATAGCAACCATCTTTGCTATTCTGCGACAGAGAGCTTTGAGATATCGATTGTGTCTCTGATGATCTGAGCCGGCGCTGCTGTCGAGAAAAAGACTAGATTTCGAACTCGTCCCTGGTCGCTTCTTAAATACAACCCGCGATCATAGTTCCAGCCCAAGAGCCCATGCTATGAGCACGCCCAGCCGCAGAAACTATTTCCATGTCGCTGAACCCCAGAATTGCAGATCTACTGTTGAAGTTAACTTTGGCGGTGCGAAAATTATTTCCGGGGAACGTTAGAACAAGATGCGCCCAAGATGGATAGGAACGGAGACGGCGAAATAGGGCAGAAACTTGACCTCAATGTGGCGCCTAGGATCAAGGCAGTAGCCCCACATATGACTATAAAATCGATGCTTTACATGTCCTGAGTGCCGGTTCCTGGAGTCAGAGGCTTTCATGCCTATGAAGAGCTTCAGAGTGCCAATGCTTGGACATATAGCGCCAAGATTTATAGACTTTTGAATTGGAAGCTGACCTACCAACAGTTTTTCCGTCCATAGCTATGCATAGAATGAGAAAATCCGAGGGTGGAATATCCTGTGGATTTATTACATCACGAACAGGTGCTGTTACCAAAGAGAATGCTTGAATATGCCGAGGAAGCGAATATTAATGGAATGCGGGGATAAGTGTGGAGACCCCTTACTCGAATTCCGGCTAAATTCAGGTTCCATGGTATTGATGTTTCTCAATGCTCATACAAAAATAGCGAATTCAATGCTGCAACTCTGGAATATTGGCTAAATGAGATTGAAGCTTCGCCGTAAGAAGAATGATAGCATTCTACCATCAGGCCATTAATACGCCTTTAGTTAGAAAGAGAATGTATTCAAATCTCAATTGGTGGAATCTTTGTGAGGTTCTTCGCAGAACAAAAGTTTGGAACCGAGCCGCACGTGCTAAATAGCCGGCCGGCTAAACGAGCTTGACCCGGTTCCTAGCTATGTATCGATATCGATAGAAATCTTCAAATCTTTGGACTCAAACAACTGCTTAACAAAATATGTAGGAATGCCTAGTAGTTAATTAGCCAATGGATCTCCTAATAGCCTGAAGGACAGGAACATGCCAGTTCCAAACCCGAATATTGGCAGTTAGGCCGTACTGCACTATGCTACGACAATCATAATAATAACCACGACCTCTGTACGGTTTGATATTTTATGGTTCCAGCGGTAGTTATATCGAGAAGCTCACATACTATTATTATTATACCTACCCAGATCTATCATTAATGAATCGGAGAGGCTCAAATTCATGAACTCATGGCCAGTTTATATATAAATAAACTGAATATTAAATGCCAGGGTTGAATGTCGAAAGTAGAACTGCATTGTTGCAAACCCTGCTATCTGGTCCGCAAATGTCGACCGGCAAATTGGTACCGGTATAACCACGGTACTTTTCTCTCGCGTCAAGAAATACAAACACTGTCCCCAGAGTCGTAGATTTAAAGCTATATTTCGGATTGTTTTCCAAGGTTTTTGATTAATAACAAATCTAGGCATAGTTCATATGTAGTCAGAGCGAATCTCGTACATCGAAAACAAGCGTTTGTGGTTTAGTGGTAAAATCCATCGTTGCCATGACTGGGTTCCGATCCAGTTCAGAGTCGATGGGCCCCGGGTTCGATTCCCGGCGGACGCATAACTTTATTTTTCATTTTATTTTTTTGCTCCTAACCATTACACACAATCTGGAGCAAACTGGACTTCAAAGACCACACCACAGAATATGTGATCGATTTTTTCTTTTTGAACGCTTTTTGATATTAAATTTTAAGTCGTACGCAAAATCCTTTCTCTAACTTCTATATTCATGTCCCTTTCGAGGACCGGTTAGAACCCAAGCCAAGGCCCGACTCATATTCAAATTTTACTAGACCAATCCGTGGCAGTTAGGGTTGAGGCCACTCCAGTCACCATGCCAGTTCGAAAGCAAATATGGAAATTCCTATCATATGATTGTTCCCGAGCTAAGGACTAGGTTACGCTGGAAATATTTTAACGACGGATATTTGAAGACAAGCCTACTTCAGAGTATGCGTTGATTCTGTTGTATTCTGAACAGTTGTGCAACATAGAATAGGCCCGCTGTTCCTCAAAGTCATTGCAGCTGGTTTCCGTGGAATGCGAATGAATCCGACTTTTGAAGTACTTTGATGCGATATCTTCTGCTTATTCTCTCGCGCTTCCTCACACTGATAGAGTCTGAGAGTCTATATAGTTACTAACTTAACCCCAAAATCTATAAAGGGGTTGTCAGATGCTTAAACCTTTATACTTAGATCGATCGAGTCGCATCGTAGGTTGTATACAGCGGAGACTACCTAGGCTCGAATAGCTAAAATTCTGCTAATGTAACCACGCCTCAACTTCGAACATCGTATAATGAAACAGTTCGTTGAATCGAAATTCAAAATAAGTTGGAATTGCGGAGCACATATTATTAAGAAAGTGGGCACCGTTTAGAGAAAGGACGAAAAGGGATTAGAAGACGACGTGGAACAGCTGTGGCGCGAAAGGGCAACACAAGAACTCCAACAAGGGCGAGCCGCATCTTCGTTCCAGAGTTTGACCAAAGAGGAAGGCGGTGGAGAGCAATGGTTCCTGTAGTGGCTCTTGGTCTCACGGCGTCGGCAAACGAGAAGGCCAATTACGGCATAGATATCGTGAGAATCAAGTTATCATTAAGCGATTATGCAGTCAAGAAACCCCTTGTCGTCCGCCAATAGTTCTAATGAGTGGACATTTAATATTCCTGTTCCGTTAATTCTTTCCTCTGGACCTTTCGAGGTAGGCTCTGTAAGTCCTGCGGCTTCTTTGTATATTCGCCAAGGGGTAACATCTTGCCGGAATGGGCGATGCACGAAACGATTGGAGCCCATCGTCTACGAAGACGGACAATATTGGATATATCCCGACAAAGGATCGCGCACGGGGAGCTTATTCAACCTTACCCCTATTCCAAGGTAGCTAGGTAGGTAGCACTATATTGATCCCCTTCTTCCCAATTATCACGTTCTCTGAGGGAGATCTACGCCTAATCGTTCTATTTTCAACCCAACATCTAACGTCGATATGCCGTAATGGGGCTTTTCCTAAAAGGGATACCACCGAAACTCTAGATACTGGCCAAATTTGCCCTCGTGGGAACGTCTGTGCTTCCATAGCCGCCTGTGAGAGTACAGCTGACGACCGCTAAGTTAGGTTCTGAATTTACCGAACCGTCTCCAATCTTAGCTACAGAGAGAGCTAATTCAATCGATTCAATCTGGATGATATTGGAATATAAAATGGTGCTCCATTCTCTACATCATGAGGCCTTTCTCTTCGGTTCGCCAGGCGCATTCAAACTCACCCCATCCTCTCCATCTACCATTTCTACCCACCAGGAGTGTGGTCTTCTTCATATATCAATTGTCCTCTCTCTTTTTTGCTTACGAACTCGCTCTTTATTGCCCAGGTTGGCTCAACGATCATTACTCTTTATTTTATCAAGCTTCATTAGTACCCTTAACCAGAAAATCAATATCTAAAACTACAAAATGCGATTCTCAACTATTATCTCCGTTGGCCTTGCTGTCACCTCTGCCCTGGCGGTACCCGTCCAGCAAGCCGAAGGAAAAAGCAGCACCGTCCAATACGAAAGGGACATTATCAAGCGCTCCTCATTCCGAGAACTCCTCCACAAGCGTAAACAATGCAACAAAGGCAAGAATCGAACTAGCACCATCGATTCCAGCACCAGTACTCTCGCCTTAGCTTCCTACGAAACATCTCCAACGCCAGCCAGTTACGAGGTCTCAACCGACTATACAGCACCAAATGGTCAAACACCTCGTCCAGCAAAGAACACCTACACCACCTCTAACAGATTCGGTGGTCGCAGAAACCGCGGGGGTCGAAAAAATGGTGGATCAAGGAACAATAGCACGACTACCCCAACCACGGATGATGGGACTACTACGGGTGGTGGTTCTGGATACCAGCCCTAGCAAGAGTCCATCATATGAGGACGATACCCCCATTGATACCCCAGCAACCTATCTAACCATGCCAGCTGGTTCTTCCACTGGACTCGAGCGGGGCTCTTCAGTCCGCAACGTCGGCGCAGACGGCACTTTCATGTCCGAATCCGCCATCAAGCCCTACCTTCTTGCCGCCCACAACATCGTCCGCGCTCTCCACGAAGGTGCCGGTTCAATCACCTGGGACTCGAGCATCGCCAAACTCGCACAAGAAAACACTCCAACCTGCGATTTCCAACACACCTCATCTGCCAAACGCAAGGGACTGGGTGAGAACATCTCTTATAACACCAATGCCAGCCCCGAAGACCAGGCACTTCGTCAATGGTACGCGAACGAGGTTGTTAACTATAACTTTAATAACCCGAGCAATAGCGATGGTGTTATCGGTCATATGACTGCCATGGTTTGGAAGGATGTCAAGAGCTTTGGATGTGCCGTTAGGAACTGTGGTTCTCATGGTATGGGATTGTACTTGAAGTGTAACTACTCCCCGGTCCCTAACATCATTGGACGATATGATCAGCAAGTTGGACGGGTCAAGGGAGCTTCAACTGAGGCACAGATTAGAAAGATTGTTGAGGCTGCTACCGGCTTCGCTCCTAGGTAAATGACTTGTTTCATATGACCTAGTGTGAGGGAAGCAATTCAATGATGTATATCAGTTACCTTTATCTTTTGTGTCACAAAGGGATATGTATTTTTATAATTTTTAACGTTCTCTGTACATTCATTCTTCGTTAGGACAGGATCCCTGTATCTCTTTCAATCTTGTCTTCCAAGAGACTTTTTTTGATTGTTGGTACACGTTGGTGGTTACATTTAGAAAATTAGAAAATCATGTCGACGAGTCTTCAAGAAATATCCTATTTTATATATACATATGATCAATATATATCTATTTCCCTATCTAGACCTTTGCATGGTCGGAATTATATACAAATGACTCTAGAACAGTAATAAATGCACTGTACCTAGATAACTGCGCGGAGAACTAATTATTAGGCGGACTAGCTAACGTGTAACTTCACTCCGGCTTAAACTGTCAGATCCTTCAAACACAAAAATCAATTTACCCATACAAATCATTAACGCATCTAAACGTATATCTCTTTAGTGTAGATAGACGGCAAAAAGCTAGGTGAAGGATTACAAAATATATATATATACCAAACACGCAAACCAAGGTAGAAAGAACAAGTTACTTTAGAAGCCCTCCAACGTCTCTAAAACTCACAGAAGTTGTGCTTCTCTCGTTCGGATTTCCTTCCCGACTACCTGTCGAGCGGGAGGAAGAGTCACTTGTCCTACCTTCCGGCTCGGACATTAGACCACCGCCTATACTATGTCTCGGACTTATCTGGGTATGGACTCCTCTGATTACTGGGACCGGTCCCAGCTCAAACGCCTGGTCAGCACCACCAGGGATCCCGACTTCGGCGGGTGAATAGTGCGTTTCAATCGTAGTCACGGCGATACCTTGCGACGTATCCAACACCAGCCCGTTGCTCGTCAGCGGGAATCCCCAGTTCGAGGCTCTCACACTAGCAGAAGTAGAATGCGCCGGTGCCCTGAGAGTCGGACTGATGTTGCGAGTGTTGCTATTGTTATTATTTGCTGTATTACTTCGGGCGCGGGGTTGATTCGATAAGGATGCAAAATGGCGGGTAGGTCCCGACGTTGGGGAAGGGGATTTCTTGGAAAGATTCGACATATTTTGTGGCTGGCGAGATGGTGGACGGTCCTGATTTGGGGTTAGAGTGTTTAAGAGCCAAGAGGATGACTGGTAATGCTTACGTGAGGACCTACATTTATATCTGACTCCAGTGCAAAGCCGGTATCTCGCACAAGATCTTCGTCACTGCCCCAGTAAGCGGCACCAGCTTCACTCCTTCCTCTAGTAGTCGCAGCGATACTTCTTCCAATTCTACTTTCTCCAGCCTCGCTGCTTGACTTAAATTTGGCACGTTTGGGGCCTTTGTCTCTGAGAAAGCTCGATAGAATTAAAGCGTTGGAGGCAAATGTCGCAGCAAGGATTTCGAGCGATCCCATAAGAGTGCGGAATGGCTGTGAGTAGTTTCTGTCTATTGTAGCAGGAATACGACCGGAGGCAACGGATATTGGGAGGAAGGAAAGTGAGAAAAGGGCGATCAGTTGAACCTTTCTCTTGTTGGCCATCTTTGAGTAAACAATTGCTGGAATCGGGAAGATGACGAGGATGAAGTCTGTGAAGATATCTAAGACTCCGGTTACATAAAGTGGAATACCACCGTTTCGACATTCCGCTACATTTTGGTTAGCTTTGAGTTCCTCAAGATAGATTCTGAGCTTTGGCCACTTACGTCCAGGATCTGGCACGACTTGCCCTGGAAGATTTGAAGTCAAGTTAAAATATATTCAGCAAATTGGGTATAACTGGGGCGAATTGCAAGCTTACAGTAACTACGAAAGTATTGATGTTAGCGCATCATGAATTTAAATAGATGTTCAGGGAGTATGCTTACTGGTTGAAAGGTTGACATTCAACGAACGTGGATATTATCGATGCTACTAAAGTAACCAGCAGACCCCATCGAACCACCCTTAAACCGACATCGTATACCCCTTTCCAAAACTG